GGTATCGAACGCTATCCGTAGGTTTGGCCAGGCGCCCGTATGCTGCAGCATTTATCTGAATTGATGAAGCGCCTCAGGAGAAATGCTCGTTGTTATACTCACGCCCCAGATCTTTATCTTGAGTGAGGTTTTGGCAGTCATGTGCCCTCTGAACTATATTTTTCTGTCATGCGGATCTTACTGTTGCCCCGTGTCCCAATCTTCATACTTTGCATTTGGGCAGGTTAAAATCGAAGGAGCCATTGCTTGGACCAGGCTTGTAGCCCTGTCCAGGTCCTTGTGTCCTGAACTGAGTCCTCATCCGATTTGATTCTCTCATTAAGCTTCGCATCATCTGCAAACAAGGACACTTCTGAGTCTATCCCTTCCGTTATGTCGTTCACATATACCAGAACAGCACAGATCCTAGGAATGACCCCTGTGGAACCCCGTTGTCACAGGCGCCCACTCTGACACCTCGTCGCGTACCATGACTCGTTGTGGCCCCCCTGTCAGGTATTCTCTGATCCATTGCAGTGCCTTTCCTTTTTATGTGTGCCTGATCCTCTGCTTTTGCAGTAACCTCTTGTGAGGAACTGTGTCGAAGGCCTTCTTGCAGTCCAAAAATATGCAGTCGATCCACCCCTCTCTCTCTGTCTTACTTCTGCCCACCTTGTCATAAAACTCTAGTAGGTTTGTGACACAGGATTTTCCTTTCCCCTGAACCGTGCTGATTGTCAATTATACACTTGTTTCTTTCCAGGTGCTCCACCATCTCCTCCTGATGATCTTCTCCATGACCTTGCATACTATACACGTTATTGATACAGGTCTGTAGTTTAGTGCCTCATGTCTGTCTCCCTTTTTAAAAAACTGGGACTACATTTGCCCTTTTCCATACCTCGGGGAGTTACCCAGTTTCAAATGATGTGTTTTTTGAAGAACTTTGTTAATGGCTCACACAATATCTCTGCTCCCTCTTTAAGGACCCATGGAGAGATGTTGTCTGGTCCCACCGCCTTTGAGTTGTCAATTTTCGCATGCAGCTTCTTCACCTCCTCCTTGGTTATTTTACCTCATCCAGCACTTGCTGGTGTGCCCCCCTGTTCTGATTTCCTGGAATCCTCCTGGTTTCCCACTGTAAATCCTCTTTAAATCTTGTGTTGAGTCCCTTGACATCCCTCTCGGTCGTTTTGTGAATTCCCCAAATCACCCTTCCTCAGTCTGATTACCTGGTCCTTGACTGTTGTTTTCCTCCTGATGTGGCTGTACAACAGCTTTCGGTCACTCTTACTTTTGATGCTATGTCATTTTCATATTGTCTCTGAGCCTCCCTTCTTATTGTGCTATTCGTTTCTGGCTCTTCGGCTAATCTCTCTATTTTCCTGAGTTCTCTGTCTTCTGTACCTTTTCCATTCTCTAGTAACACCTAGTTTTTTGCCTCCCTACACCTTTGGGTGAACAAGGACTCGTTCTGTTCTTCCCATTTTTTCCCTTTTTCCCTTGGGAAAAAAACCTCTCCTCTGCCCTCCTTGCATTTTTTTGGGCCACATAGCCCATCTTTCTTGTACTGGTTTTCCTGTCAGTTCCCTCTCCCACTGAATGTCTTGAAGGAAGTTCCTCAGCCTGAGTAGTTCCTCCTTTTGTAGTTTGGTTTTTCCCAGCCTATTCCTGTTACTCTCTCCACTTGGAGCTCAACTATGTAGTTGAAGCACAAAAACCACATGATCACTAGCTCCCAGGGCCTTTCATACATAAATACCCTCGATGTCCGAACTACTCAAGGTGAATACAAGGTCCAGTCTTGCTGGTTCATCCTCTCCTCTCTCCCCTGTTTAGTGTCTCTAACAGTTGATGCATGGGGTTTTTCCCAGTACCACATCCTCATCTTGGCTCCCCAAATGTTTGGGGACCCCCATGGGGCTCCAGATTTTCCCAGTCAATCTCCTTGTGATTGAAATCACCCATAACTAGTAACTTTGCTCCCCCCATGTGTGCTCTCCTGGCCACCTCGGCTAGTGTGTCGACCATTGCTCTGTTGCTTTCATCTATTCTTCTCTTGGCCTCCTGCAGTTCTGTGGTGGGTTGTACATTACGCAATTATCACCTTATGTCCCTCAGACTGGATTGTTCCTACTAAGTAGTCCCTTTCGCCCGTGCCATCCATTCCTTCCATTTTCTCAAAACCCCACTGGTTTTTAATGAGCAGTGTGTATGTGTGTGTGTGTGTGTGTGTGTATGTGTGTGTGTGCGTGTGCGTGTGTGCGTATTTGCAAAACAGCCACTGTTCAAAAATAGTGAACTTCCGAGCGATTTCGTGATTTCTCACATTATCAAAGACCTGTAAAAATAATACAACAGCAGAAGGGTAATAAGGCTGAGAATCATCTTACAACTCTACACCCGACCCAGTAAAATGCGAGCGACTGGACACGTGTCAAGGGAAATTTATGAAGGAATTGTCATGCATAACTTAAATTCCTCACAAATTCAATTAATTATCGATGAATTTAATTTATTTAACCCTAAACTAATATTTTTTTTTTAAATCAATACTATTTTTTTATGGAACTAGATTCAATTATGTTTCTCTCAACCATAAACCTACTTACTTTCTTGGCCTTTTGAAAATTAATTGGGTGGTTAAAATCTCTAAAATGTAAAAACAGAGCATTATACACCTGTCCATTTCTAATGGTATATTTGTTTTAATCTCGGTTCAAGACTTTTTCCAGTACTGCCATATATTTTTTTTACAGGGAGTCTTGTAGACGCAACCATCAGCATTTTGGGGGGAATTTTTAATCTGATTTTTGTTCTGTATCAAAACTTTTAAATACAACTTGGATTTCGTAATTCTTAAGTAGAGAAGGTATGTCAAGAATGTGGTAATGATAAGAGAGAACTAACATATTCTTGGTTGAATATGATTTTAAAGGATTTACATATTAAGTATTTTGGATATATTAGACCATTAGTTATTTCATTAATCTACACAGCAGTTATGAATTTAAAAAGTATAATTCCCCAAATAATTAAGACATCGAAAACAGGAAATTATTTATTTTGTTTAAACTCATCAGTAAATTTCATAGAACAAGTTACTTTTTATTTCAATAAGAAAATTGTTTTTATCTATATTCTTGGGAATTAAGAATAAAAAATTAGTATATCTGTTTCCCCTTAGCTCTTTCGGAAGGATTTGTTAAGCATCTTGTTGTAAAATATTTCATGACAAAATAACTAAGGTCAGATGAGAGAGGATTTTTTCCCCTTGCTATTCCAGGCTTGTGAGTGTAAAACTCGCTAAATTTAAACACAAACTTTGCATCAACAATCAAAATTTAATAAACTCAGTGATTGTACGTACAGTGATAAATCGAAATTGTCGAGTTATTCAGATATTAAACTTAAACCATCAACTGGAATTTTTGTAAACAAAGAAGCGATATCAAAACTATTTTCCAGTTATTTAAATCAGTCATGGTACTTAATTTATCAACTAAATGTTATTTTTTAAAATTAAAAGTTTGAAAATTTTCAGTTTGGCTCAAAAATATCTACTAGCCAACTGGATTTAAAATTTTTAGTAAACTGAACCTATGGAGCTAATTATGGGTCTGGCTGGATAACTTGGTTTATGTGTTTTGAATAATTCATAAACATATCATAAAGATGGATTGGAGGTCAAGAATTTTTTTAATTACTTCATACCAAACCATACCCCATCTTTGCCTTTCAGTAGTCATCTTATTGCTTTATTAAAGTTACTATTAACTGATTCTAAGAAATTCTTTCTATGTTTGGAATAAGTATCTATATCATCTAAGAGATTGCTCATTTTACTTGGGTCACCCGTTTCTTTTAAAATTACTACTGAATTTCTTGTCTGGTTTAGTAATATTTCTATTCCTACGCAAAATCCAAGCTAAGAACTACCTGTAGAATTGAACCACTACTGAAAGGAGTCTCATATACTGACGATGAACAGGAAATGAGTGAAATCCTAAAAGAACAGTATGAGTCGGTGTTCAGCAACCCACTAAATGACAGCAAGGTAGAAAATTGTGAAATATTTTTCACTCCAGCAGAAGGCCGTGCAAACCAGTTAACTGACAGTACAAATCTCATACATTTCGAAAAAGAAATGGATAACATGCCCACTCACTCAGCACCTGGACCAGATTCATTGAATGATCTATTTATAAAGTAGTGTAAAGTACCATTAGCACGAGCCCTCGGTATTCTTGGAGAAAGGAGCTTAGATCAGGGAAATACC